CATTTCTGTGAATATTATTGCTGTGGAGCTCTGTTATACACTAAGACACATAAACAATATGGAGCTCCTAGAACAGAGGGACATTGGGACAGAAAAGAGGGACAGAGGGATTTGTGCCTAAAATAGAGACTGCCCCTCCTAAATAGGGGCGCTTGGAATGTATGCTGTATTGGATGAAATAAGGGGTTAGTAGTGGGGTAGGCAGGCATTGTAAATCCGGTTTTCATACTTGTAGAGCGTTTTTTTCATAAGATCGCTCTTTAATGCTACCGTGTATATGAACAATAAAGTTATTTGCGGTTCACCTTGGTTGCGCATGCGCATAGCGGTCACGTATGCGTCATGATGTATGACGTTATGCGTGATGACGCATGGACGCATGCGCAACCACGGCAATCACGGAAGCCGGTAGATACACCGGCGGATTTAAAAGGAGGAAGATGGAGAAAGATGGAAGAAGCTCCTGAGGAAGTCTGGCGACGAAACGCGTTGAGCATTGAACACTAAGCACTATCTGGGACCCTGCATTGTGGTATCAGCGGTTTTATTTTGTGTGTATGCTGTTTGTTTACATTTACATTTTGGGCTATTTGAATATATATGTGTCATTTACTTGGTGCAATTTTAACATCAGCATTTTGCCTTTGAGCATTTGCACTTTCATTTTGCACTTTAGCATTTTGCACTTTATTGCCCAGTTCAGCATTATGGATTATTGAGCTGCTATACCTATGGGTTCCTGCTTATTTATTGTTTTGGCACTTATTATTGTGCTGTTATTTTTTATCTTGTGTCAATAAATTACTATTTTTATTTGGATATTAGTCATTATATATATTTTTATATTTTTTTTCTTGCCCTCATTTATACCGTTATAGTGACTGTGGCGCCCTGTTACTTTGTATATATTTCTATTTTGATTATTGGATTTGGAGTGTCCAATCTACAGAGGCTGGCCTGCACTTGGTTTATATCCATCGTTACTGTTCATTCACCCATCTTTCTATTTCTTTGTTTGGATGAAATAAAGGCTGAAAAGGCCGATCTACATTTTATGGAGTCAAACTGTAAAGTAAAATTTGTTTTACAAGCGTGTCTGATATTGTTTGTTCACTTTAGCATAGTCAATATTTCCTGTCACTAATATAATTTATAATTGGAGAAATATATAAAGCAGCAGCTTTAGATACACAACATTCCTGTTAATCTTTTAGCTTTTTTTGCCATGCTTCTCTTTACGTCTCAAAAACCGGATTATAGGCCAGAACCATGGGCCATAATACGCAGGTTATAAAAAAAAAAAAAAAAAAAAAAATACCCATACCAGCCTACTTCTCATGTATCTAATAATTTAGTCACTCCATTCTCTATTCATTCTTTATAAGCCAACACCAACTTTATATCCCCAAAATAAAATCTGTATACAGAACGACACCGTTAGAAAAAAAAACAAAAAAAACAAACAAAACTCATTACATAGGATTTCTTTGCTTAAAATATTGGCCTCAAGAGAAATTACTACACTATATAATTACCAGGTTTATATTTTGGTAGTGCTTTGTAATCATTATATATATTTTGTATGTTAGATTATCATAAAATTCTATGGACATGTGAAAAAGATTTTGTACAAAATAAGCATTTCTCTTACCATATGTATGACACAGGACTTTCCTTAGGCAGCATCTTTGGCACTGTGCGGATTAACCCCTTAAGGACCAGTGATCTAAGTCAGCATAAGAATTTGATATTTGAGTACCCTATTCCAAAGAAGCAATGTCCCACTCATTTAGTTAATTAATTTAGTGGCGTAATCCGTGCTGGAACAAGGTCTTTTAGAACCAGAATGCGATGACGAGGAAATGGCACTGCTGCTTAAAGGACTCCAGAGATGATGTACATGCGGCAATTTAAAGTATATATTGTAGCAATGTTTTTTCAGTCTTACAAGGCTAAGATATATACACCGAAAAAGCTGTGACTCATTTAATACTCGCAAATACCAAAGTGGTGAAAAGCAAGCGATTCTAGAACTACCAGCCTATGCATCCCACAGCTTCTATGACAACTGCTTCACATTTAGCGCAAGCCCCAAAACAGGTCCAATTTTGCCTTAATTAGTAATATAAGTGGTACAGCAATAAGATTAATATAGTATACATTTTCTATAAGCATTAATAAGATCCATCTGGTTAGCTTCCTCTGGCACAGCAAGGGTTAAAGGAAATGTATGAAATAAACGAAACCTCTTAAATACTAATTTGTGGTTGGTTTGCCTTTGAAGGGCTGATTACATTTTTTTTTTTAGGGACAGCAGAAGAAAGCTGATGTCCCAAGTTACTACTAAAAGTGGTAAATGCATTGCTGGGTCTCACCGTAATTCCTTTGTGGTTGTGCTTGTTTTCTGCGTTTTTCTTTGAAATCCTCTGACATAGCGAAGGCTGCTGGGTCTGTTGCTGACACTGACATTCAAGCTGTACTCACCCAAGTTGTGAAAAAACTTGTATCTTTCTCTTTCTGTCTCTGACACACACACACACATGCTGGGGAGTACCCCATAACTCCCTTGAAGAGTGATGTCACACGCACACATGTGAATGGGCTGTTCTCAAGTGATTGAAAACTCTCACATAGAGCACTGTCCAAATTCTCATTAACTCCTTAAACTACTGATATTGTAAACATCCCTCTCAAAACTGTACAGAACTCCCTGTGATAGTTAGTGAAGAAATGAATGGTCCTTATTATAAATAAAATAATTTAACACTCACTTTCTCATGTAGATATAAGAATTTCTTTAAATTTTAACTTTTCACTGGATTGCCACGTCAGCCTTTATCAATTCAGCAGTCCAGAAAAAACGGTGCCAGTTTATTCTTTTTTCTATTGAATAAATGCTTTGTCGCTGACAGTGATATTATCTGTAGGAAATTGTTATGACAACAACAACTCAACAACACAGCTCAGCTAAGCCTCTAGACACCAATTTCCTTATCGATTCTCCACAATTCCAAATTTAGTGAATAGCCCTATCCAGACTTTTACTGCCTAAGAAGCATGGCCAACCTTAGGTGTTAAGGCGTTGATTCTGTGTAAAACCTGTTCCCAACACCCCCACACTCTCCCTAACTACACCCTTCCATGGCTTTGATAACAGCAGCTCCCTAATGTTAACCCCCCTCATCTAATCCCAAGGTCAGCAAATTTATGACAGTACTATTTTAAATATATCCCACAAGAAAACATGCATTTAAAGGGACACTGTAGCCACCCAGACCACTTCAGCTTATGATCTGAAGTGGTCTGGGTGCTGTGTCCCAATTGCACTTTGTGCTGCAATGTAAAACATTGCAGCTCTAAGTCTGCCCTTAGTAGCTGTCTACCAGACAGCCTCTGGGGGCGCTTCTGGAATTGAAACGGACCTTTGGTCTTGGAAGCCAAACACTTGGAAACCAACCAATCTCAGCACTCTGATGGGCAAGTATCTTGTGTATACAAGATTGGGCAAAAGGCATGACTTGCCCATCAGAGCTCTGTCACTGGTTGGCATGCAAGCCAGTCAATGACAGCACTCTGAACGAAAATTCAAGACATGGGACAGACTTTATCAGGGCCATTCTGCTTTGAATTTTCATTTATGGACTCTTAAGTATATTTTTATTACAGACTTTGGATTAACCCATTAGGAACCAGCAGATTGAACATCCTTGGCCCTGTATGGGGACCCATTATATTTTAATACATGGCCCAGGAGACTGATCATCTGTTGGGACCTGCAGAGGCCCATAATTAAAGGGGCCCAGGAGATGGGTCCTCTCCTGGGCTCCTTACAACTACAAGGAGAAAAAGAAAACAAAGTATAGTGCAGATGGTTTACAAAGGAATGAAAATGGGTAATAGAAGAAAATTGAACCACTCACATGGACTGGAGCCTATATAGTATTGGCTCCGTAGGTAAATCCTTTTTGCTTTTTGGGCAGCAACACACCCTACTGACACAGCTACTAAGGAAGCTCATAGAGTGAAACACGTTTAGCTGAACTTTGGACTTTATATTGGGACTCTTTTATTTAGACTTCTTATTTTTTAGAAGAAGTACTTATTTTGTTTTAATTTTATCACCAATAAATTATTTTATTTCACACATATTAGCCCTACAAGTCCTTTTTAGCCACCAGCAACCACATTTGGGGAGTGCTATCCCATTAAAAGTGGCACACTGCCAATCAACCTCAGAGCCGGGAATCCAGGGCTCTGTCAAAGGTGAGCACAACCATAATCACTTATATTATATTCACGTCTCCATACAGTACTACTCAGCTGGTCTGTCTCCTTCTTGTTCCATATCCCTGGAGGAATATCATTCGGGACAAGGGGGTGTGTTGCTGCCCAAAAAGCAAAAAGGATTTACCTATGGAGCCAATACTATATAGGGTCCAGTCCATGTGAGTGGTTCAGTTTTCTTCTATTACCCATTTTCATTTTTTTGTAAACCATCTGCACTATACATTGTTTTCTTTTTCTCCTTGTTTCCATTTTCAAGCATTGCCACTTTATTGAAGGGGTAAGTGTACCCTTTAACTATCTATATTGTAATAGCGCTCCACCTGTTGGTATACAACTTATACCATTTTTTCTTATATATTTGTACTGTATTGTGGATAAAGGGTTTTCCACTTTTTGTGTTGAGCTGCTTTCACTATTTAGGCACTTTAGAGTATCACTCACTATCTCTGTTAAGAGATAGTTGTTTTCTTGCATTCATCCTTACAACTACAGTTCAAGCGCTG